TGACCAAAGCGTAGGTGTCCAAAGCAGGCTTTACCTTCAAATAGTAGTTAATGTCATTTACAGTCCTTTCCACAGTTGGGGGCAGGGAGGATAAAAGTCTATACCTTTTATGATAAAAATCCTTGGAAAATTAAGGGAAAAAATAACGCCCTTACTGCGATAAAGAGTCACCTATAAGGGCCAGGGAGATGGGTCAGCAGAATAACTGCTTGCCTGGCAAGCACAAGGTCCTGAGTTCAATCCCTGGTACCACGGAAAAAAAAAAAAGGAAAAAAAAAGTCATCTACAAAAATCCTACTGCAAAAAATCTCATAGTGGGAAGCAGAAAGCTCTGCTCTGGAGACTGGGCAGCAGCCACAGATGTCTCCCCTTACTACATCTGGCAGTCACAGGCAGCAAAAGACAAGAAAAACAGAAAACAGCCACATGGACTTGCAAGGAAGAACTAAAAATGGCTTTACCAGTGGCAGATACAGCTATTATAAAAATAGTTTTAATTGGATCACATCTAATAAATCCTTATTCTCAGACTTAGTTAGGTCACGTAGCAGACAAAGACATGTAAGCTGTACAAATACACCAAAGAGAAGATTCTGGGAAAACAGGTAACTATTAAATGAGTCTTCCTAAATCCTGGGAAGCCAAAAAAACTAAAAATAACATAGACAGAAAAAGAGATAAGAGAAAGATTGGGGAGACAACAAGTACAGATGAAATAGATTTCTTGGGACAGAAATTGTGAACCCTGGATCCCAGGCCATGCACATGAGGGAGGGACTTCTTCGAGTTAGGAATAAAGTCACACAGCTTCTCCACTGGAGGGTACCTGTCTCTGTACAGACACGACTGTTCCAAGAGTCTCTCTCTCTCTGGCCCAGAAGTAAATTAATTTCTTATACTGTATGCTTAAAAACATACTCTAGGGCCTGCCAGATAGCTCAGCGGACTAAAGCGCCTGTTTAGGCAGAGTGCAGCGGCCAGGGTTCGATCCCCAGTGTGCCATGCCTCGATCTCTGGCATGCAATGCCAGCCCCGCCCCCGGGGCATGCTGAGATGGTGCACCTGTAATCCCAGTGCTTGGGAGGCTGAAAACAGGAGGATCACTGAGTCCGATCTACATACCGAGATCCTGTAGACCCTGTCCTAAATACAAAAAACAAAAAACTATCAGACTCGTAGTGATTCTGTTTTCAGCCTCCCTAGTACTGGGATTACAGGTGTGCCACCATGCCCAGTCTCAACTGCCATCTCAGCATGCTCTGGGGGGTGGGGCTGGCATGGCATGCCGGGGATCGAACCCTGGCCACTGCACTCTGCCTAAACAGGTGCTTTACTCCACTTAGCTATCTAGCTGGCCCTTAAAAGCTCAAATAAAATTAACCCCTAATTTTATTTATTTATTTTATTTTTATTTATTTATTTTTTTGGTAGTACTAGGGAACTCAGGGCCTTGTGAAGGCTAGGCAAATATTCTACCGTTGAGCAGTATCCCCAGCCCAATACTTAAATTCTGTACTATTACTGGATATACTAACACACATACACTCACATACACACATACACACACAAAACCAACACAAACTTCCATTATACTTCTATACACTAGCACAAAAGATACTATTCCATGTGCTCAAAACATTAAATACTTAAGAATAAACCTAAGAAAGGTTTATTCTTCTGCCATAAGCTCGCCCCCCCGACAGAAGATAAAGAAGTCAGTGGTCCCAGGAGTACCATTCCCACGGCTGTCGAACACCACATATGGGGAGTTCTTTCCACATCAGCCTTCCAGAGGTATGAAGAGAAAACTTCTTAAAAGAGGGTGCAAACCACTTTACTTTTTTCTTTGGTATCAGTAATCAAACTCAGGTCCTTAGCACTTGCAGGCAGTTGCTTGTGTCACTAAGCTACGTCCTTGGCCTACCACTTCACTGTCTTTGAGGAGGCAGTGGGAACAGGGAGAAGTGGGTTAGTGAGTCTGGCAGCAGCAGAATAAGCAGTTTCCCTTTCATCCTAAGCTGAAGCAGGGCACAGGACACCTGGAACCTGACAGAAATGCAGACTCTGGAAGCTGCCACGACACATGCATCAGAAAAGACACTGGCCCAATGTTCAATGCTGCAAGACACCGCCCAAAGGGTCTGCCCCAGCACCATTAGGAGTGAACGTGGAAGCCAGTTGGCCACGGCAAGCCCTTTAAGCAATGACCTGGGACCCTGGGGGCCCTGCCCTTGGGCACCCAGCTGCAGGGTAGCTTCTGGCCTGGGCCCTCACCTAAGCTACCTACCTGCCTTACCATCCTAAGACCGTCACGTACATGCTGGCCTGCTCAAGCTCAGCTGGATCCAAATAATTCCACAAACTTAAAAACATGGCTATAGGCATGGTCAACGTATCTAAAAGTATATTTTTATTGTTTGTTTGTTTGTTTGTTTTTTGCGGAACTGGGGATTGAACTCAGGCCCTTGTGCTTGCCAGGGAAGCGCTTATTTCACTGAGTCATCTCCCTGGCCCTCTAAAAGTATATTTTGATTTAGTATATTTTTATGCTTTTGGCCTGTCAACATGGCTGTTAATCTGTGTTTATGATAATTAACTTAATAAAGCTATGAGGGAAATAAATAATATTTGATGCTAAAAAAGAAAAAAAATGGGGGTAGAGAGGAAGGGGGGAAGAGCTGAGACGTTGTGTACTGCACCAGTTCCCCACAGTGAATGCAATCATGTGCTACAAACATGTACTAATAAAAATAATTTTTTAAAAAGTCATTGAATTCCTGCCATTGCCAGTCCTATGGATGACCCACTACTATTATGGACTACTGGACCATATTGGATTGTTTTTGCTGAGTTCACGCACCTACAATATTTAAATGGCAATGGAATACCCATCTCTGACAAAACTAAACAAAAAAAGGAGATACAAAGGAAGGACCATTTTGTATCTGTACATACAAAATAGTTAGGGTAGATATACAGCTACGTTCTCTTATTTCAATGAGCAGAAAGATTTGTAGTAATAGTGTTTGGACAGGACATCATCATGTCTGCATCTTGTATTATGAATAGCCACTAAGAAGATAACAGTATGCAATGTATTAATTATTGAAACTGTCCTATTAATCGGTTTTGAAACTGTCTCATTGCTGTTTCTCAATAAAATTAATTTTTTAAAAAAGGCATTAAATTCAATTGAAACTAAAAAGTAAACTCTACAAATCATTATTTAAAAATAAAACTTTTGGCTGGGGAGATAGCTCAGTGGTCTAAGTGCCTGCCCGGCTAGCACAAGGACCCAAGTTTGATCCCCAGTACCACAAGCTATCCCAGCCCCAGAACCCCCGGCATACCATGCCAACCCCAAAACTGGGCATGGTGGTGCATACCTGTAATCCCAGTGCTAGGGAGGCTGAGACAGGAGGATCACTATGAATCCAAACTGTGCGGTGAGACCTTGTATCAAATAAACAAATATTGCAGATGAGAGCACCCCCCCACACATACAAATGAAAGTTGCAGTAACATCAGAAAGTTACAGTCACAGAAAGTTGCAATAACCTGTAAACACCAGTGTACAAGCCCTATGTAAATGCAGCTCTTGTTTCTCTTGTACATAGGCCCAGGAGGGTCAGGTGATAGCTGGTAATTTTGGAAGCAGTACCTCTTCTCCCCCCAGCAGCAGGAGGATATAGCAGTGTTGCACTCCCAAGCCCCATTTTATCACCTTGCTCAGAAATTCCCACTACTAGAGTAATGGGAATGCTCCTGCTATAAGGCATCTGTTGTGACCCAGGAGACAACACAACCCATACTGATCAGCCTCCAATCCAGGTTTGAGGATGTCTACACAGGAGGTCTTCCTTCCTGGGAGCCCCAGTCTCCTGTAAACTCAGGAGGCAGAACTAGATGGTCCGTGCGCTCTGCCATGTTACCAAGGATCCCCACCCACAGACAGGGCCTACAGTGTGACATCTACAGTGGGCTCCAAGGACAAAAAAAATGGCACAGGGACATCTGGCAGCAGAAGGGATGTGGTGGGACAGCCACGTGGTAGGCTCCATTCCAAGTCTATGTTGGGGCTGCACAAATGTTTGCACTGCCCCTGACATGATAAATTTCACACTTTTCAAAGGACATTTAAACAAAAGACTGAGATCTAGGGTCACCAAGCAGGAAGAAGGTCCCATGTCTCATAGCAGACTACTGGCCATCTGCCAGTACTAAATTCTCTCTCATAGGATGAGCACATCCAGGGGAAACACAATGGTCACACACCAAGGGCCAAGGCTTAGAAGGGCACCAACATGGGTGGAGAATACTACAGTAAGAAGGCTCTGGGCAACACCATGCAGCCTTAAGGCAGATGTGCAACTGAAATCTGTGTTCTACTATATGTTTACAACTGTTTACACTTCACAGCAGCAGCCCCTGTTCTCAGGAAGCCTTAGAAGACATCCCACAAAAGCAAAAAGGGAGGGGCCAGAAGCCCCACAGCAACATGGCAAAGAACTCCAAAGGACATGGGTACAGATGGGGTTGAGCAGACTAGAAAACACCAGGAGGTTTCTTCAGCAGAACACAAGGCAAAGTTCCTGATGCACATGCACATGTGCACAGCTCATGCACAGAGCACAGGCAACATGAAGCGGAACTGAGGCCAGCAGACACTTCCAGCAGTACCCTTCCTACTGTGTTCTCCAGAGCTGCAAGGACACAGGCTTGGCCTGGCTATGCCAGCGTTGGCAGCAGCACCCCAAATCCTCAAAGCAGAGACGATGCTGAAAACAGTCTGCAAGGGTGTTAGCCCAAGGCCAGAAAGAAAATTCAATGCCCAGTTCTGGGGTCCAGCAGAACCTGCTTGTGGATGCCCAGCTTTCCAGTCCCTCCAGGTGGCATGGAGACTGGCAATTCATTAATGGAGGCACCTGTTAACTGAAGATAAGCACCAGGTCCCTGCAACTACCGAGTCCCACTTGGGGGAACCAGACAGCAAAGGATACGTGGTGTGCCTTCTGTACGACACACTAGGTAGAGGCAGGCGGCAATCACATGGGCCATCTTGCGCCCGCGGGTGAGGCTCTTGTTTGCAGCCATCTTGAAGAAGATGAAGGCAGTGTCAAGGCAGTGCTGGTTCAGCTGCAGCTGGCTCCCCAGGTGGTGGATGTGACGCCTCCCTAGAACACAGAACAGAGGGACTTAAGGGACTTAGCAAGCTGCTGCGGCCTAGTCGCAACTGTTAAAAAGAGCAACAAGTGACCATCTCAGCAACTGACCAGCCCAAGCCAGCCTTCCCCAAGAGCCAGCTACCTAGCTAGAGGAAAGGACAGCCTCACACCTGCAATAGGGGGAGGACCACAGCACGGCCCCAAAAACACCAGGTGAATTTGAGGGTGCTAGGTCTTTCTAGCACCTGCACGGTGCCTAGGTGGCTAGGATGGCCACATCTGTGTCCATACACCGTCTCGGAGCAAGATCTTCCAAAATGCTATAGGACAAGAAGCAGCACCAAGAGAGAGCAGAGAAGCTGGGCAGAGAGAGATGGAAACCTATAGTCCCAGAACTCCGGGAGGCTGAGGCAGTAGGACCATAAATTCAAACCCAGCCAGGGTATAAGTTGGCTACTCAGTGAGATCTTATCACAAAATAAAAAACAATTTTAAAAAAAGGGGAGCTTTGGGGAGAGACAGGGGCAGAGGGTTCTGAAAAGGCTTCTTGATTTAAAAAAAAAAAAATGTATTTAGTATAGGGTCTACATGGTCTCACTAAGTAGACTGGACACATGATTCTGCTTTCAGCCCTCCAAGTGCTGGGATTACAGGTGAGCACCACGACACCCAGTCTCACTGTCTCAGCGTGCCCTGGGGTGGGGCCGGCACGGCACACTGGAGATTAAACCCAGGGCGCTGCATTCTGCTTAAGCAGGTGCTTTAATTCACTAAGCTATCTGGCCATCCCTTGGTTTTTTTATTTGGCACAGGGTCTCGCTATGCAGCTCAGACTCATAGTGATCCTCCTGTCTCAGCCTCCACTGTACTGAGATTAGAGGTGCTGGTGGTGGTTGGCACAGCATGTCCAAGGTTCAGCATGCATGGCATGCGGTACCGGGGATCAAACTGGGTCCCTGCACTTGCTGCAGGTGCTTAGACCTCTAAGCTACCTCCTCAGCCCCAGGCTTCTTGATTGTGGCATATATGCCCAGCGGCATGTGACTGACTGACTTGATTCCTGTTGCAAAGTAGCTAAAAGAACATATCCTTTTGGGTGAAGCCAAAATGTAGACTTAAAAGCGCAGAATACATCACAAGCCACACTGGTTCCACTCCCAGGCGCACTGAGCAGCCACGGAGACTGGGCGTGGTGGTGCATGCCTGTAATCCCAGTGCTGGAGAGGCTGAAAATAGAAGGATCACTAGGAATCTGTGCTGCATAGTGACACCGTGCACCAAAAACATAAAAAAGAAAGAACAAGCAGAGTAGACCACATGAAGGGAGATAGCAGATTAGAGCTAGCAGCACCCATAAATTGGTTGGAGGCCTATTATAGAGATCCACAGTGCTTGGGATTGATGCTATCATGCTGAGAGCAACAGAACATAACCAGACCCAAAGACACAACACAGCAACATGGACATGATGCAAGAAACCTGCACCGTAGCCACAACGCCTCCCCACCCTGACTCTCAATACATGATGCCAGAAAGCTAGGCAACAGGCTGCCTCCAAAACCCTGAACTCAGGGCCAGGGAGATGGCTCAGTGGAATAAGCGCTTGCATGGCAAGCACAGGGGCCTGAGTTCAATCCCTGGTTCTGCCAAAAAATTAAAAATTAAAAAAAAAATTATAAACAAACAAACCAACCCTGAACTCTCACAGCTGACTCAAGGGCACTGAAGAAGAGGATGACCTAGGCCAAGAACTAAAAAACCAAACAGGGGCTGGTGAGATGGCTCAGTGGTCTAAAGCACCTACTTAGAACAAGCTTAGCAAAGCATCAGGGACCGCAGTTCAATCCCCCAGCACCACATGCCAGCCAGCCCCGCCCCCTGGTGGGCTGAGCTGCCCCCCCCTCTCTCTTTCTCAAATAAATAAAATAAAATAAATAAATAAATAAAATTTAAAAAAAAAAGAAAGAGTTACTCTTTAAAAAAAAAAAAAAAAAAAAAAGAACAAGCTTAGCAAAGCACAGGGACCGCGGTTCAATCCCCCAGCACCACATGCCAGCCAGCCCCGCCCCCTGGTGGGCTGAGCTGGCCACACACACACACACACACACACACACAAATTTAAAAAATAAATAAAAAATAAAAAACCAAACGGTGAAAACACTTGGAGAGATCTAAAAAAGAGAAAAGAAACATAAACAAATCCCTTAGTTGTCTACTGAGCTCAGAGACCATTTAAATAAGCAGATGAAGGATTTTATCTATAAAATGTTTAACGAGCTTAAAGACAAAACAAACAATAAACTGAGTAAAACAAGATAATATAACATATGAATAACCATTTGGTAAATAATTAGAAACTGTTGGGGTAAAAAACAAAACAGAAATACAAGATACCTAAAATTCAATGGAAAGCATGGGTGACAGGTTTGAGCAACATGAGAACAAGGTTAGAAAACAAAGTGGATGGAGCAGATCATAAATTCAAGATACTCAAGGGCCAAGGACATAGCTCAGCAGCACAAGTGCCTGCCTGGCAAGTGTAAGGTCCTGAGTTCTATGTCTGTTTTGTTTTTTTTTTGTTGTTGTTGTTATTGTTGTTGTTGTTTGGGGTTTTTTTTGGCAGTACTGGGGATTGGACTCAGGCCCTTGCGCATGCCAGGCAAGCACTTACTCTACTGAGCCATCTCCCCGGCCCCATGAGTTCTATCTCTGGTACTGCAATCAATCAATCAATAAATATCTCAAGACACCACAGAAGCTGGAACTAAGAGCACTAGATGGCTCAGAAACAACCAATATTAAAATTACATCAGTAAAAGAAAAATTTGAAAGTGATTCAAAAGGTATAAAAATGTACTCATTGAAATCATAACCGAGGGGCCAGGGAGATGGCTCAGTGGAATAAGCGCTTGCATGGCAAGCACAGGGACTGGGGTTCGATCCCTGGCACCACACGCTGCAGCCACTGAGACTGGATGTGGTGGTGCTTGCCTGTAATTTCAGCACTGGGGAGGCTGAAAACAGGAAGATCATTTTGAGTCTGAGCTTCATAGCAAGACCCTATATGAAATAATTTTTAAAAAGAAGAGGAAGAGGAGGAGGAGGAGGAGGAG